TATTAGGGCAAAAGACTGTTTACTACCCTCATGTTTCATGGTTTTCAATATTTAGTACATCTAGTTTTTTTTGTCCCAGAGTCATACCTAAAGTGTAAATTTTGGGATAGTCTCATACATCTATTAGTCAAATTGTTAAGTCTTCTGTTAACTATGACGTGACGCCCATATGGACAATAAAAGGGGCACCATGTGTCAATAAGGGTCCCACGTGGATAGTAAAAATAAATAAAAAAAATTAAACATTAAACATTACAAAATTACAAAAAAAAAAAAAAAAAAAAAATGTCTTTTTCCTCAACTCGACCCTCCCTCCCTTTTCTCCTCTGCACCTACCCAAGTCACCACCGCCATTCCATCCTCAGTGGACCCAGCCCACCTCCTCCGGGTCTGCACCATTCTCTACTAGCAACAAAACTCGCCTGAGTCATGTCTCCACTCGAACCTCAACTCCTCCGCCTTCCAACTCACCCACGAGTTTTTCCTCCAGGTCTGTAACTTCTTCCCCCTTTCATGGCGGCCTGTCTACCTCTTCTTCCACTACACCCAGTCCCACCACCTCTATTTCACCCACATCGCCGTCTTTTTCAACAAAGTGTTCGACGTCATTGGCAAATCCAGGAACATCCAGCTCTTTTAGGTCACCCTCCATGAGATGGCACGTCATCGTTTGGTGAATCGCAAGACTTTTCTGATTGCTTTTAGGACGCTGGCCAAGGCCAGAGAGTTGAACAAATGTGTCGATTTCTTTCACACCATGAATAGGTTTGGATTTTGGTACGATTTAGGGAATTTGAATGTGGTGGTTGAGGATTTGTGTGGGTCGAAGCTCGTCGTTGAGGTGAGATTTTTGGTTTTGAAGTTAAAGGAATGGATTCGGCCCGATGAGTTTACTTACAAGTGTTTGATTCAAGGTTTTTGCGATGTGGGTGATTTGATCGGTGTTGTTGAGAAGATGATGGAGACCCTTTTCAACACGAATCGGTATGTCCAGGAACATGATGGAGACCTTTTTCACCCACATCGCCGTCTTCTTCAACAAAATGCTTGACGTCATCGGCAAGTCCAAGAACATCCAGCTCTTCTGGGACACCCTCCATCAGATGGGACGTTGTCGGATCCGGTCAAGGTCGAGCTCAATCAGCTCGATCCGTTGCTTTTCTCCAGATTTGCGGTCGATTTCTCGAGATTTGCCATCAAATCTAGTAGGTGAGGCACGCTCCTTCGAGCTCATAGGGCCGTCAAAGAGGATAAGGGTTGGATTTGGGGAAGACGAGGATGTGGGTGATGGGAGGGTGGGCACAAGTGGGATTTGGGGAGGATGAAGGTTTTTTTTATATATTATATTATATGTATATTTTTTTATTTTATTTGTTTATTTTTAATTTCCACATGGATGACACGTGACGCCCAGTCATTGTCCACATGGGTGCCACATCACAGTTAACGGGAGACTTAATAGTTTGACTAACGGATGTATGAGACTGTCCCAAAATTTACACTTTAGGTATGACTCTGGGACGAAAAAAACTTGACGTACTAAATGTTAAAAACCACAAAACTTCAAGGTAGTAAACAGTGTTTAACCCTAAATATTATTTTTGCGTTTTCCGTTTACTTATCAAGAATGAATATTCAAGGCATGAATATCATCCTCTTCTAAGAGTTGTTTGACAAATTTTAGAGAAATTTTATTTGAACCCTTATAACCTATTTTTTACACCTTATTTAAATTTTGCATGTGAAATGTCTTTTTTATTCTATTGTATAATTACCATAAAGTACAAGAAGAAATTAACAATAAAACTAAATTTTATCAATACACCCACACCCAGTAATCAAACTCCTACCCTCATGCAATCTTTTGCCTACTTTCTATATTATGGCGATCTTGAAGTTTTGGATTCTCCAACTAAGGTATGAATCGAATCCATCTCGTTACAAATCTAGTCCCAATAGTAAGGAATTATTCATTTTATACATTTTTTTGGTTCCTTTATCTGCCGACAACTCTTAAGTCTCTTTGCCAGTTGATAATCTAGGGTTTTTAATGATAATATTATTATGTTTTTCGTGTCTTATGGATGTGGGGGTGTGGGGTGCATTTAGTGACAGTTTCATTTGGTGGCTACGCATATTGGTGTCAATTACCCCTGATGTTACAGTGAAAAGGGTGAAAAGGGATGTGATTAAGCAGCTCGTTGTTTTGTACAAAGAGTCACACTTAGGTCAAGGAACCCCAGCGTATGATGGTATGAAAAGCATTTACACCGCAGGTCCATTGCCTTTTGAATCCAAAGAATTTCTGGTCAAGCTACCTTAGAAAGATTACCGTGACGGGTCATCTTCTTCCTCTCGCTCGAAAAGGTATAACTATTTTTGTATGAGAGTTCAGTGCTTGTGTGTCTTGTTTTCATCTCTATATGTTTTTATAGTTATTGCAGTTTTCTGAATATCATTTGTTTTTGCCTTTTGGTGTGTTTGAATGACTTACAGATTGGATAGGGAGTTTAAGGTGACTCTCAAGCTGGGGAACAAACCCGACCTTTGTCAACTACAATAATTCTTGCGCAGGAAGCAACACGAGTCGCCTCAAGAGGCTATACAAGCACTTGATGTTGCTCTTAGAGCCACACCATCTGAAAAGTAACACCTCTTTGTTAGAACCAGCGTATGACATGGTTTCTTTCATTCTGCTGTTTCTTGTTTCGTTACTAATTATATGTTGAATGTTGTATTTTCTACTGTTAGGGCTGGTTTGATATTGTTGTGCTTTGAACAAAAACTGATTCTGCTGTGCTGTGAAAATATGCTTATTTTTGCTGCTTCACGTTTTCAGTTTTTTTTTTCATCCAAAACTATGAAAATAAGTTGTTTTTAAGTGTTTAACAATCACCTTTTTGAGCTCAGTTTTTTTTTATACCTACTTTTTATAAAAGCATCTCAGTACCAAACCAATACTTACACCGTTGTTGGGAGGTCTTTTTTCTCCACAACGCTTGGGCCAAAAGGTGAGCTTGGTGACGGTCTGGAATATTGGAGACGATATTACCAGAGTCTTAGGCCGACCCAGTTTGGGCTTTCCTTCAATATAGGCATTAGGTTCACCCAATTTCCTTGTTTCGGAAACCATGCAAAGCCAAGTAACAAGAATGCTTTGCCTAACTTCTTATTCAAATTTTGCAGATGTGTCTGCCACATCTTTTTTTGAATCCATCCTAGTAACGGAATTTGTGAAAAAATATTTCAACATAACAGATGTTTCAAGGCCTCTGTCTGATCGTGATCGTGATCGTGTGAAGGTATTCACCATTTCCTTTTGATTTGCGGAATGCAGTTTTGATAGGTAACTTACCAAGAATTAAAGTAATATAGATGAAGTAGAACACAAATCTGTTGAGTGCAGAATTTCTAATTATTTGCTAATTTTCGGAACAAGAAGCTATTCATTCTGCTGATAGGTTATGTATATGTGAATTTGCTCGTATTTAGGTAGCTGCATTTAATTTTAGCATGTTATCAGTTGTTTTTGTGGATTCTTCAAGTCTCCTCCTTAATTAAACATTTTGTGTTCAACAAAGCTTGTGACATTCTGTTACTGACAGGTGAAAAAAAGCCTTAAAGGGTGTCATGGTAGCAATTTCTTATGGGACTAGAACATATAAAATCTCGGGAGCGTCCACGGAACCGCTGAACCAACTCAAGTCTGTCTTGTGATCTTTATGCTCATGCCTATTTTCAGTTTGAATCAGTACTTAATATACGAACTCTGAATACGGAAGTAGTAAGATGGTAGTTTAACATTATCGTGAAAGGTACAATGTTGTGCTAAAGAATGTGGCAATGCCTGCCATTCAATCTGGAAGTGCTTCCAAACCTGTTTATTTGCCTACGGAGGTACCTCCCTCGATTCTTTAAGCGGCTTGTTTTCCAGTTTGATATTTTTTCTGGGTACGGTACTAGCCTTTATGCTGATTTCAATTCTTTGTTTTGGTTTTGCACTTGTACAGTGCAGTTTGAATATAACATATGTTGTTTCAGGTATGCAAGGTGCACGGTCTGTTTAGGTACGAACTTGCCTGAGATTTTTTACTTCTGTTTTTTGCAAATTACGCGTTTGCTGATTGCGCCCTACTAATGTCTACGTTTTTTTTTCGTTTTCTCGTGCAGTTCCTCCTGCTTACCATGCTCATCTGCTTCCTTATCACACACGACACTACATTGAGGGAGTTTATTCTGATCGAGGTTCTCGTACAGGTCCTAAAGCCGGGGTTGCTGGTGGTGTGCGGTTCAGAGCCCTGCCCGAGATCAAACAAAATGCGGAGGATGTTATGTTCTACTGCTGAAATATATAGGCAGTTTTGGTATTTCTTCCAAGTTCTTTTCTTTTCGAAGCGTGTTTTGTCGAGGTTCTTCGAATTAAGTTGCACAAAGACCTTAATCTTGCACTTCTGTTTCTCTGAAAAAATGCCATCGGAATCTCATTGGTGATGGTTGTTCTTGCAAGTTTTGTGTCCTGTGTATTGTGCATTTTGTTAAGTATTATTTTTGCATTAAGGCTACGTCTAGTTAGTGGAAAAAGGAGGATTATGGACGTACTTTCATGTTTGGTGAGTCCAAGCTTGGGATTGTTTTTCCTCGTCCTAGCGGGAAAGAGGAGGATTACGAAATTACTTCCTTTTCCACGTTTTGGTGAGTTCAATGTCAAGATTGTTTCTCCTCCTACAGGTAAAAAAAAAAGGAGGAAACCCAATCCCTAGCTTGGACTCACCGAAACGTGCACAATGCCAACGATACGAAGAGCTAGCTTTGCTACCCGAAAAGGCTCCTTGCTTTCGGGTAAAACTTGCAAACTGATGAGCACAATTGATAAGCACTGTCAAAGAACTGAAGATCACATGTTAAAGCAAATGTGAGAATAAAAATCTAGTTTCAACTTCATAGTTAACATCTTGATAATATCTAGGTAATCACAAGCATATACCGATGCAAATAAGGCATGACACGAAGGAAGTTTCGTATAAACTACTATCCCGTCGAACCAATTACATGTAAATGTATTTTACAACCTATCGACAGGGCGACGTGTAATTCTACATGTTTGATGAAAACAATCTTAGAAGAAACACAAACCTATTCTAATGCACACGGTCTTACTGGTTCCTACAAATGTAAACCAGCAAGATAAGAGATACAGTGGAAGAAAGAATGAAATGATCGCCCCAGATCTTTAGAAGCGTATGCTATAAAAACGAGTTTCCTTGTATAGTTATGATAAGTGAAAGGAAAGCCAACATGCATGCTGGAATCAGCTCGTAGCGATCATTATGCAAGGAACGGCTGTCACTTAGCTGTCCTGCATTGACATATTCACTTTGTCCGCTTCTACTTGTTGCAGAAACATTAACTGTTGTTGAACCTAATAAGGATGATACATCGGATCAAAGTTTAGTGCTGGCATAGACTCGGAACTTAGATAGCAAGTGCATAGATTGCATAAAATTCTTTCAGGAGGATTATGGAAACTTACAGTCATAGTTAGTCCATCCAATTTGTTGACCTCCCAAATCATAGACCACAATTTTGTCTTTCAGCACGAGGTCTGGCAAAAGAAATATCACATTAATAAAAAATAAAAAAAAATTGGGGAGAGAGAGAGTGGGTTACAAAAATGTAATAAAAAAAATTCTCATACAAGGATTTCAAACTCTAACATACACCGAACCCACCAAGTTCATGAGATCAGGGAATATAAATCTTCGAAGTGGTACAGAATCGGCAAAATTAATTAATCGATGAGAAGTTTCTAGTTTGGTGTCTATACCTCCTAAAATCGTTATCCCTGAACCTCGAATCTTCTGGAGGCCAATGCACCACCTTGCAGCACCACTCTGTAACAAGAAGTTTACCCATTTCAACTACAAATTCAGATAGCAAGACTACAGCTCTACATAAGGTTAATAACGGACAAGCAGTGTATGGATGATGTAAATCCTATAGCTGACAAAATCATTTTTACTTTTCAATATGTATGTGCTAAATGCTAATGAGTGGAGAACAACCGTTAACGGAGGAAATGTTGAAGAAAAAAGCAGCAGAATGTATACTGAGGAATAGTCAAGAAAGACTATGCAGTTGGAGATTCCATCATAAGGATTGTCCATTAGAAGAAGCTTATGCATTTCACTCCAACTCGTCAGCATTTTGTGAAAGAGAAATGTCCAAGCAAATCCTTGGTAACTGAAATACCTAAAAGGAAAACTTACAACAGAAGTCTGCTGTATAAGGTAGTCCTGCGGTCTCAGAATCAAGGATGCACCGCCAGCAAAGTTAAAACTAACTTGAGGAAATATATCACTGACACTGAACATAAAATACACATACATTTTAGAGAAAAATCATTACAAAACAGAAAGCACTGAATGGAAAAACAATGGAGATAACAGATTCAGAAAGTTAACCTGGAGGTGATCAAATAACATTGATTTGCGCTGGAAACAACAGGGCGCACTGATTGTGAAACTGAAGCAGTTATCTGCATGGCACGGAAAAGTATGAATTCAAAACTTTTCAACTTATGTTTACCCAAATTTTGTGAAACTCAATATCAGAAAAATTAACTAGACAAACATGTCATAGAGCATGATGTTTTCATTTTTTTCCATCTAAGCACCAATATGATGTCCAAAGCAGACTAATTATAGGAAATCACATTACATAAGTGAGACTTACAGCACTGACAAAAGGGTCATAGGCTTCGGCTGCAAGGTATGCCAAAGTTGTACCAGAATCAACTATAGTTCCTCGGTTGCTTGATGTTGCGAACACTGCTGTATCAATGGGCAATATCTGCCCGTTGACAGAAATGCTCTGCAGATTCAAATTATAATGAGGCCTGAAATATTAAATGTCCAAATGATTAGTCAAAACACATCAGTAAGGAAACAATATCAAATAGAAAAAAAATCCCTAAAATTTGACATATCAGAATTGAGCAACATGTTAATTTGTTTCTCTAGAAGTATATGCAGAAGGACTAGTTAAGTTGTTCAGGGTTCCAAATGGTTTGGTTTTAGGTGACGACAATGCTATAATGGAGTCGGATTTCTATAATGAGTAATGACTGATCTACGATTGTGAAATAACAGAAAGCCACCAAATATTTTTGGCTTTGGGGTGATATTGTAAGATGTGCAGTGGAATTATAATCAAAAGGAACGTACTGTGAAGGGACAAGCGGGCTATAGACAATATTTGGTTCCACAATCTCGCCGATAACCAATATACCTCCACCACTATCGTCTCCCCTCAAGCAGTGGGAGAAGACACTTGGTGCTACTCCTTGCGAAGACAACTGAGAGATGACAGACATACCCTGTTGGCCAAACCCGAAGATCCCATCAACTGCTCTATCTGACTTTGTCAAGTCCCCAGTCTGCAAGGTGCTACACCTGTTTTCACCATCCTAGGGAATGACTTTCAAGATTCAAGCAAAATGCATAAAAGATTATAAATCAATTATTTAACTTGGAAAGACCCGTTATAACTCACCCAAAGACAACATTAGCTGAATAATTTTGGGTCAGAGAACCCTCAAGAATCGTCTCAAGGTGCAACAAGTCTGATACGTAATAGCCTGATGTCCCACTGCCATCTCCATACTGGAATGTGTAAGAACACTGGTTATTCTGCGTGGAACAATCAGAATCTGAGGATTGAACTCCAAGACTGCACCTTCGATCCGAGCAAGAAATGAATTGTGACGTTGATGAGCTTCCAGGATCAAACAAATTGAGCTGAATCTGTAAGAATTACAAACAACCTTTACGAAAACTGTCGCAGAAAATGGCTCCTAAGCTTTCACAAGCTCAAAAAGATTGAAACCATGATAGGAATGTCGACAGTAAGGAAATGCACGTTTACCGGGAGCCCACTTGTCTCAGGGCAACCATTGCAGGAACCGCAATTGACCCACAAAACATCACTTCCGGTGTCAATCTGCACATAATAATCTCTTGGAGGAGATCCCAATTGCAGCTTTGTATAATAAAGCCTATATAAGGGAAAAAATTCCACAAAAAACCACAGAATTATTAACAATCCTCCAAAGCATTTAATGATAAATACCCATTACTGTTAAGAATATAAAACTTAGAGAACAGTCAAAGCAGAAGAAAACAATTTAAAACTTATACAACTTTCAAAGAATCAAATAAGGAAAGAAACCACAACAGGGAACTAATTGTTACTTATAAGGAAAGAACCCCAATTTAAAAATGCAAATCCATTATCCACAACATCAAATCTAAACACAAACAAATCTAAAAAATTAGAGAAAACCCACATCAGAACTACATAAAATGGTGCCAAAGGAGGTGTCCAAATTACCCAACGCGGAAGGGGTTGTAAGTTCCCTCAACAGGGAAATCAACGATGCCATTAGAGGACTGAAGCTTCCTCCCATGCCGGACTCTGTCCCGAGCTCTGAGTTGACTCAGGTCCTCTAGGTGGTTCGAAGGAAAAGCTCTCTCGAGGCTGAGGGTCGCTGGAAAACTACAGAGGACCACAGCCGCCGACATCAGAATTGCGCCGGCAATGAAAATTACGGAGGGAAATCCCATTTTGGTCGGACCAGAATTTGTATTAAAAAAGAAGACCCAAGAATTAATTAGGAGCACTCAGAGCTTCCAAAATTCTAACGGCGGACAAGGCATTGATTGAGGCAAGTATCTATCTTCGTTGTGCGTTTTTGAGAGTGAGGAAAGAAAGAGTCGAGAGAGAGAGAGAGAGAGAGAGAGAGAGAGAGAGAGAGAGACAGAGACAGGGCGTTGGGAATTGATGGGAGAGAGAGTACAGAAGTTTCGAAATGTCGAAATGGACAAACTTTATTTTTTTATACTTAATTAATTTGTGGTATCCTTTACTTTGTGTTGTCTAATCATACTTCTTTAGTCTTTTACTTTTCAAAGTACAAATCTTTGAGACTGCGCTGTGACACAAGTGGGGATTTTCCATGGAACAAGAATTGTCTGCTCTTCATTTTTACTGTTCTTTTCGTGCTTTTCTGTTTTATGTGATCACGGAAACACATTTATTATTGGGCATTGACATCTTAATGCGTTGCAATCTGGACATTGATCGATCTTTATGCTTTCCAGCAGCCATACAATCCGAATCGCCTATTACTACCTATAAAGTAAAGATCACCACCCTTCCACTTGCTATTCAGTAGCCACATTAACATTTTATATTAATTTTTTTATAAAGATAATAAGATAAAAATAAATAATAATATAAAATGTTAACGTGCTTTAACCGTAATCATACAAACAAAAAAGCACAGAAAAGACACTGAAAATGAAGGGCAGACAATCCTTGTCTTTTTCCATACTATTTCTGGGCTTTGGTGAACTACAATGTACATGCGGTCACTCTATCTTCGTTTTCTTACTTTGCAAGTAGTATATTGGTCACATCAAGTAACATTGCTAGCCATTTATTAATGCTACGAATTATTCAATATTATGAATGTTTTACTATCTCAATAAACTTGGAAAGTAATTGACTGAAAACATTAGGAAACTTTGTGGGGATGCTTTCAACACCTTTATTCTTTGATTTTTATGAATGAAGGACAACTGCAAATGAAAGGTCTAAATATAGTTTCGTCTAAAATTATAATTCTACAAGAAATTATTTTTAAATGAATTATTTAGACCAGATTCATATATCAATTCTAATTGAAGAGGTTAAATATAGTCCTTAATAATGTATTATTTTTAAGTTTCTTTTAATTTTATTGGTTAATTGAATTAAACTACTATATTTATGTGCACTATCACTTTCTTTCAAAAGCAATCAACCCATTAACCCATCGATTAAAGCATCAACCAGTCTTAAGATTATAAATTAAACGGGTTGAAAGGGTGGCAGAAATTAGTGGCCTTTTAGCTGTTATTTGACCTGATGGGCTCTATAAATTTATTACTCTCCATTGGAAAGAGTTTTTGAACACTATCGACAATTTTTTGGCTTTTGAACATTTAGTTTTCTTTGAGATGTGCTATCCACACACCTCTTTTTACTTCTCACACACCCTTTGTTAATTTCTGTTCGTTAATCTTCTTTAATTCATCCAATCCGACAACCAAAAATTAGAAAGGTGTGTGAGAAGTAAAAAAGAGATGTGTGAATATCATACCCCTTTTCTTTATTAGAGACATCATCCATTTGTATTCTGATTCAAATCTCAATCGTATGTCTGCTTACCTGATTCGATTCACTTCATTATCTACTAGCATCACCAACTTTTTCAGAATGTCCTCACTTTCGGATCTCCTCCTCCTTCATCACATGGACATGTTCCTTTACCGTCTGTGTGTCCAACCACACCATGTCTTAGCACTTGTCCACGATTAGCATAGGAGCAAGAGTGGAGTTTGCAAGTCCAATCCCACATTACTTTAGGATGAAACTTCAAGGTGGGGCAGAATGCCAAATTAGCCTTCAATTATGATGCAACTCTGTAGAAGGAGAGGGTCCCACTCTCCACCGTTGCTTAACAAAAGAGCCAAATTCTCCAAATTCCACTATCTTTTTATAATCCATTTTTTTTGTGAACTTTGGGTGAACCCAATGCACAATTATTTCACATTTTACTTTATATGTCGGTTTTTAAAGCTAAAAGTTGTCCAAGTTTGTTTACTAGGAAAGTGAACGTAAATATAGAAGACGATGGATACTAAGAACTACATATGAAATAAAAAACTTTATGTGATACTTTAATTTCTTGATTGAATTATAACCATACAGACCATTAGTGGACAGAGAGATGAGAATTAATTAGTATGAAGAGAAACGTAGCAACCCTTTATAAGAAGGTCCTATTAACTCAAAATCCTGAAATTTTCAGCTTTGGCCACAACATGATACAAGATGGAGAGGGTTTTTAATTTTACTTTAATCAAACTTTGGACGGTGTCACATGCAAAGGAACAAAAAAGAATGCAGTGTCATTTGGCTTTGTGTTTTGTGTACCAACCAAGGATCAGAGAAGGAAGCTTCCTGACATTCCTTCTCCTAATACCGCAACACTGACGATGGCAGGCACTCTTGTAGAACATGCCCAGCTTGTTTGGAACTGACCAAGTTTCGTTCAATTGGCATAATATCGCATTAGTCCTATATATTAGATTGATTAGATATCTAAATTTTTTTTTTTTTTTTGGTTTTTTGTCATACGAGAAATCTGTTAAATTAGATGTTAGATTAGGAAATCGAAGAATTTGATCCCAAACTATGATGCAGAGCAACATTTCTTTCTTGCCCTATCCAAATTTATACATTAAATATTAAATATTACTTAAAATTGGACAAGTAACTTATTTATTTCTTATCCTTAAAAGAAAAAACTTATTTATTTGGTTGGTGAAGGGGATCAATGGGAAATCATGAAGACTCATGGCCTAACTTGATGACCTTCACTGCATATGCGGAATGCTTGGTTCCTCAAGGTTGAGGAGGACTTTCTTCTTAAAACAGTTCTTAATGCTTTAAACAGGGGCTGAGCAATGGTCCTGGGTCTATCCTGATATATATATATATATATATATTATTTTTTTTACACAGAAATACCTAGAGTTATTCTCTTGATTTCTAACAATTTTTCAAGGGATTAGAGCCCCAACCAAATTTTTTTTCTTATTCCCTCCACCCGGTTCGATTTGAGGTTGGTGACTCTTATACAGTTAATGTCACAGTGAGTTTTGAGAGGCTCAGGTGATCAGAAGAGGGAGAGAGAGGAAATAGGTGATAGAACTTATTTTTATTTTTACTTTATCCTCTTATTTTATTCCTTCAAGTATTTTTTTTTTTTACAACAATATTATCTACACTAAAAGGGTGAGGGAGTGGGCTAAGCCGGGGCGTTTTGATGCAAGTGCATGAGTTTTCAACTCTATAGACTAAACATTTGCTGGTTTTAGAGATTTAATTAAATATTTTTCCTACAACTTTGGAGTCTTGTCTATCATAAATATCCTTTATTTGTACCAAATTACAGATCTTACCACTGCCTAAATTCTTCACGTCAGGAAAAAAATGCAGAGATATTGAAACAAATTCCTACAATCTAGCTCCCTTGATTCCCTCTAAAGATAATTATACAAAAAAAAAATGATTATATACAATTTATTAAGGAATAAATTACCTTGCCGTTTGATTTTTTTTTTCTTTTTCTTTTCCTTTAAATGAAGAAATAAAATACCATTTAAGATATTTGTAGTAATCCATGTATAAATTTTTGTAGTAATTAATATAAGAAAATAACATCGAGAATAATACAAACGTACCAATAAAAAATATATGTATGAAAACAAGCCTACTAAAACCGGAAATAAACGTACTAGTAAACAACATTGAAGAACAAAAGTAAATGTACCAATCAACGATATGTATAATATTAATCGTACACATATGATACTAAATGGTACAATCCATAATGTATACAAAAACAATCGTAATAAAATCGTGAAAAAAACCTATCAATCAACGAGAACAAAACTAAACGTACCAATCAACGATATGTACACCAAAAAAAAATAAAAATAAACATACCAATCAATACAGAACGAATATATGATAACCAACAATAAGCGTACCATTATCACTAATCAACAATATGTACAAATTCAAATGTACACAAAAAAATTATCTAACAAAAACTATACTAAATAATAAACAAACAAAAAAAATCTAAGCGTCCATCATTTCAATTTCAGGATAAAAAAAATGTTTTGAAAGAAAACAAAAATTAAAAGAGATAATTGGATAAATATGTTGAGCGAAAAAACCCAAAATTATCTTCTAAAATAGAGTCCACAACTCCTAAAATACATGAATAATAAAAATGGCCGGAGAAAAAAAAAATTCTCTCAACTAATTAAAAGGACAAATTTAGAAATCAATATGTAAAATTTTAATTTAACAATTATTATTTTTTAATTTAAAAAATAAGAAATACTGATGTGGCCTAATGTACTAAAGCATATTGATCAAAATTCTAAAAGACATGGATGTTTAATAAAAGAAATTCAAAATTTGAGCGTTTAAATCTAATTAACTCTATTATTTATTTCCCTCCTCTCATTCCTTCCTTTTTCCGCTAAAAAGGACCCTTTTCTTCTTTTTTTTTTTTTTTTTTTTTTTGGGAATTTGAGTCATGATACTGGGTGTGGTGGTTGAGGTGGATTACAAGAACAACGTCATACCAAACCCTAATAATGGTGGTCAGTAGCTTAGGACATGGCAGATCCTTATATTTTTAAGATTAGGAGGGCGTTTAAGGGTGAGACTTTTGGACCTCTTCTGAGCTAAAATTCTAACTTCGCCACTGCAGCTTTTATCAAATTCGTTCATTATCTTTTATAGTTTGATGATTAATAATAAAATATTTGTGCAGAGGTGATGTTTACATGGTGATTTGTAATAGTAATGTTCTGATCATAAGTATGAAATTTCGTAAACTGGTCATAAAGTATTTTGAGGAGGACTCCTCCTCATCCTTTAAGGAGCCGAGTGTATTCCTTTGCACTTTACAAAGGGGTGGGTAGCTCCAAGTTTCCCCCAAGTGAGAGATCCTCAATGACAATATAATATAGGACAATATCCCCTAGTGAAATGATGCACATATCCTTTAATTTGCAAATAAAGTATTTTAACCATATAAACTCAACGATCTGAATCATTCAGTTTCTTTTTTAATTATTTAAGATCACTCCTACAAACAATCGATAATTCGAATAAAAAATCGTTT